TGCTGTATTTTAACATGGCAAAGAGGCAAAAAGGCTCCCTTAAGCTTCTTTTAAAAATTATTTATTCTTTTAAAAATTATTTATTCTTGCTGGGCAGTGGTGGCAAGCCACCACTTTTTTTTTCTTGAGACAGGGTTTCTCTGTGTAGCCTTGGCTCTACTGGATCTCACTCTGTAGACCAGGCTGGCCTCGAACTCACAGAGATCCACCTGGCTCAGCCTCCTGAGTGCTGGGATTAAAGGCGTGCACCACTGCCACCTGGCTTTTTTTTTTTAATATAAAATGGGTAGAAATACAGTTTTATTGGAGAAACTCACATCTAAGTTACTTTCAGTTTTTAAGAACTCCTAACAAGCACCCAAGAAGAAAGCACACACAGGTTCAAAGGAACAAGACAAACGGCTGCAGCCACCGCAGGGCCACCACTTAAAAGTGTCACCTCCCTCCTGGGGAAAGGTGTACACTGTGGTTCCTGAACAAGACCTCCTTACTTTACAAGAAGGAACAGCCAAGATCCTGTTTGGAGGTGTATTCAATACAAAATATAAACTACTTTCTGACCCAGATGAGGGGGAAATCCTTTAACACCTCAAGTCTCCTGCAATGAAATCCAGAGGTCTGTTGAATCCGCCTTTTCAATTCATGTACTGCCTGTATTTCCTCTTCTGAGACACGTTTATGGCATAGGCGTTTACAGAGCCATCGACTTTCTTCCCTCTTGTGGAGTCAAAAGAGACAAATCCCATTAATTTAATCAGTTCTAGTTCTTCCTCTGTCCTACCCTCCAGATCTTCCTCAGTGATATGACATTCTTTGCTCTTTATTTCTTTAGTTTCTTTCTTCTCTCAATCTCTTCTTTCTTTCAGTCAAGAAGGGGAAGGAAATGTGGATCTAAGTTGCCTTGGACACCTAGAGCATCTTCAGTGTGGGGATCTTGAGTGGCTCCTTCTGCAATCCCTCTCCCAGGACCTGAACTTTCCTCAGCGCCTTCTGAGATCAGGTGATGTGGACCGGGACCTACGCTCCCCCCCCCTCCCGCCCCCCAGGGCAGCTGTGCCTATGACTGTGGCCCTACTCCTCTGATCACCACAGAAACAACTGGTGGCTCACACCTTTAATCCCAGCACTCGGGAGGCAGAGGCAGGTGGATCTCTGAGTTTGAGGCCAAACTGGTTTACAGAGTGAGTTCCAGGACAGCCAGGACTACACAGAGAAACCCTGTCTCAAAAAACAAACAACAACAACAAAAAAAAAGCAAAAAAAGAAATATTTATTCTTTAACAATTTCATACACACATATAATGTATTTTTATTATATTCACCCCCAGTTAGTCTGTCTCCTACTCGCCAAATCCCTCTCCAGCCTTCACGTTATATTACTATTATTGCTATCACCCACTGAGTTTAATTAAGGGTGTTGACATCAGTGTGGTTGTGGGTTATTGACTGAAGCATGGGCAACTTACCAGTGGTTCTACCACTGAAGAAAAACGATGCCTGCCCCTCCAGGAACTGTAGTAGCTGCTCAGGGAGGACAGGGGCTTCATGAAGCCCCTCCCCATCCATTCGAGAATGTTGCCTGGCTTGATCATGCTCAGGTCATCATGACTGTGGTCAGTTCATGAATGAAATAGCCATATCACATCCACAAGGCAGCATTTCACAGCCCTCCTCCCCCTCCTCCAGCTCACTAGGCAACTCTGACTGGCCTGGAATTTGCTATGCAGACCAGGCTGTTGCTTAAACTCAGAACATCTGCCTCTGCCTCTGCAGAGCAGGAATTGAAGGTATCTGTCACTACACCTGGCTCAAGCTAGTTCTGTACAGACCTGACTCCATTTATGAGGGTTTAAAGCCCCTGACCTAACCATCTCCTGGAAGTCTCTGCTTTCTCTTCTTTTCTCTAAATTATTTTTTTCAAGTTATCACATTAGGAGTTAAATTTTAAGATAGGAAAATTTCAGGGACACACAGCCAGAATGTAGCATTTAATGCCTGTAACAGATAACAGACCCACTAGACTTCCCGGGGTCCAGACCGAGACAGATGGGGTCAGGAACTAGCCCTCTCTGCCGAAGCTGTCTGCAGAGTTCCCATGGATCCGCTAGCTCTTCAAACTGTTGCTGTTGTCTGATTTGTGCCGTCAGAAGTTACTTGAACTCTTTTCAAGGCCTGCAAAGACTTCTTTGTTATTATGTTATCTAGGCCTTTCGGTTGTCATCTTTTTCCATTTTTCTGCTGTTTCTAGTCCAAGATTCTAATACATGCTTTGAAAATAAACACTGGCGGCTGGATCCAGCAGTGTGCACCTGTGATCCCAACTATTTGGAAGGAGGACCCTTTGACCTGGGATTTGAGGTCAGCCTGAGTGGCATGAAACTCTGGCACATTGTTGACGTGCCATTTAGAGCTCACCATAAACATTTTTATTTCAAATTTGGTTTAAAGTGACATTTGTCCTCTCCTTTTAGCACATGAGTTGGAAACACTTATCAGAAAAGATGGCTGCTGTTTCTTAGTTCTCCACTTATTGCTTCTATTCCACATGCAGCACCCATTAGGCAGTTTCTGAGTCCTCCTGTGTTGAAGTGAGGGAAAGAGGAGAGACAAGGGAGCAACAGGATCTCTTTCAAGTGGCTTTTATCTAACGGGATTTATTTCCTTCTAGTACTTCACTTTCAGTGTGGGGATCAAATCTAGGACCCTGTGCATGTTAGGCAAGTGCTCCACCACTGAATTCTATTCTCAAATCTACCACGATTGATTTGATTATGGTATATATAAAGCTGACTGCTTTTTCTTTCCTTTCTTCCCTCTATCTTCTTTATATTCTCATTCTCTCTCCCCCTCTCTTTTTTGAGACAGGGTCTTACTACATAATCTTGGCTGACCAATTTTTATTATTTTTTTGAGAAAGGGTCTTATATAGCCAAGGCTGGCTTTGAACGTAAGTAGCCATAGATGAGTTTGAATTTCTGATCCTCTTGCTTCTATCCCCAGAATTCTGAGAAATTGTGGAATCTTTTGTTTTATTAATAAATAAAGCTCAGAGGTTAGATATTAGGGTATTAATATCCACTGCCTTCCTTTCTACCCTCTCAGATAGAAAAGCCCCATGAATCTTTCTGAGCCCCTCCTTATTTCTCTCTGAGTTTCTCCATCTTCCTCTGAGTTGGCCAGAAAAATTTACGGTTTATTCAGGCCCGCTGAACACGGACTCTACCCTCTGAATCAAGGTTTAATTCCATTGGTGATCTCAAAACAACAACACAAACAAATCTCCTGCAACATTTCCCCCATTTTGTCTAAATAGAAAAGATTTTAACTCGAACATAGTAAAACTATATACAATAGGAACAATTATCAGGGTTGGGGATTTAGCTCAGTGGTAGAGCACTTGCCTAGCAAGCACAAGGCTCTGGATTCGGTCCTCAGCTCTGAAAAAAAAAAAAAGAACAATTATCAAGAAAGAATTACATTCATGATGTCCAATCCATGTGTACTAGGCAAATTCAGAGAAAATACTCCATTGTCTATCCTCTCTTGGTGAGTCCAAAGTTTTGTACCTAATTTACTTTCTATGGTAACTAAGGAAAACTGTAACTGTAACTATCATCAACCGCATCAGAGACCCAAGAAGGATACAGTATTACCTGAGTAAACAAGAGCGCAGAGCAAACAACTTACAAAATTATAGAAACAACAGAGACATCTGGCTGCCTGGGCCATCACCCAAGGTTCCTCTGCAATGCTGGGGCATCCATCTTTGGACTACAGGCCTAGAATATCTGACAGACTTTTCTGTGAAGCGGGAAATTTTGAAGGACTGTCCTACCTTGTCTTGGTAGAGTTCGACAGCTGCCTTCTTTTGTGTCCTGTTTGTCCAATTTAGACAGCATGTTGTCAGCAGTCGAGATAAGAGCAGTTTCTTGCCCAGTGGCTAACTTTGCCATGATGAAAGCAAACTCCACATGGAGGTTCTTCAATGCCCATAATACTTTTTTGAAGCAAATTGATGCTGCCAGGAGCAGATGTGTTTCACTGTCATGAAAAGCCTTATGTTATTAAAGCATTTTAAATTCCATAGTTCTGTAGGTCTCTGAAGTATTTGAAGACCATCAATCTATTTAAAATATATCTGTTTGCCCTTGAAAGCATACCTAATGTGACTATAAGTTTTATTGTTATAGATGACTGCTAATCTTTCTTATTATCCTAAATATATTTCTAGGACTAGAACTTACATTACATTTTTTAAACGAGCTTTTAAATTTAAGGTACAATACCTTAAACAAGAATAAAAACATATATACAGGGCTGGAGAGATGGCTCAGAGGTTAAGAGCACTGCTTGCTCTTCCAAAGGTCCTGAGTTCAATTCCCAGCAACCACATGGTGGCTCACAACCATCTGTAATGAGATCTGGCGCCCTCTTCTGGCCTGCAGGGATGTGTGCAGACAGATTGTATACATAATAAATAAATAAATTAAAAAAAACATATATACGCTGGGCGGTGGTGGCGCACGCCTTTAATCCCAGCACTTGGGAGGCAGAGCCAGGCGGATCTCTGTGAGTTCGAGGCCAGCTTGGGCTACCAAGTGAGTTCCAGGAAAGGCGCAAAGCTACACAGAGAAACCCTGTCTCAAAAAACCAAAAAAAAAAAAAAATATATATATATATATATATACAATATAACAAAAGTAACCTTATATCAATATATAACTTTTGTATCAATATATAAAAATCCATACCAATATAAAATATTTGAGACTAGCAGTTGCTTTTTTTTTAGCTTAAAAGTAGATTCAGTAATCTGCCTTTTTATCCTATCATTTCTATATCCCCACTTTTCTTTTCAGAACAAGATTCCTGAGTTTAAAATCCTTTGCTTAGTTTCCTCCCTGTCCATGACCAATAACAACTTGTAACCAAGCCTCCTGAATGATAACAAACATCCATTGAATGACCCCAAACCACCCACCTTACCTCTTGGGAATGTGGGCATCATGCTCTTCAAATTACTTCCTGTTGTCTGGGGGTGATGACATCTTTGGGGACCCTGAAAAAAAATTGAGATAAAGATCAAGTCCTAGGAGAGATGCCCAGTTTTGGTGTGGTGGAAAAGTGCAAGGCTTATCTGAAGTTCTGGCTAGAGTAGCTATGATGTTGGACCATCTTAGCTTACTGCCTTGAAATTTTCCTGAGCAGTTTGTAGTCCAAAGCTGATCTTTGGTGTTTATCAGCTTAGTGGTATTACAACAATCCAAGTGGATTCATCATTGTCGGGCCCCATCCTCCTTTTGGAGACTTCAAATGTTGCTGCTAGGAATGGTCACTGTTCACTGCAGAAAACTTGAACATTTTAAATGTCATATGCAGCAGATTTCAGAGAGGTTAAAGGACTACAATCTATTAAATATACCCAGGATATGTAAGAGCTTAATTCCTAATATCTGCTTCAGACTCAAGTCTGAAGTCACCTACAGGAAGCTAGATGAAGCTTATTTCTAGAATTAGTACACTATATGACCATTAATATCATGACAGAAAGTTTAAATATATATGCATATATATTAATCTTATGAATTTTGAGATAATATTTATAATTTAAGAAAAGTTTTAAAGAGTCTAAATAAAACCAAGGAATTATGACATTAGTGACAACAGAATAGTCCCTTAATTTTGTTTTTTCTTCTGTCCCCTATCAGGTGGTTCTTCTGACATGAGACAGAGACTTTAGATTTTTCTTTAACAAGCATGCTTGGGTTTAGAGAAGGAGAGAAACATGCTCTAACTCCAAAATCAGCTTTAAATTTTAATTGAGTTGGGATTACAAAAAGGTCATTTGCCTTATATGTCTGTAGAGAACAGCAGAAACAAACATTTGGGAAGATTTATGAAAAAAATTTTTGAGACAGGGTTTCTCTGTGTAGCTTTGGAGCCTTTCCTGGAACTCACTCTGTAGACCAGGCTGGCCTTGAACTCACAGAGATCCACCTGCCTGTCTCTGCCTCCCAAGTGCTGGGATTAAAGGTGTGCACCACAACCACCAGGCTGATTTATGACATTTTTTTTTTCTGTTGGAAATGTGCTATACTATTAAGCCAGTTTCTTTGGACATTTTCTCTGTTTCATCCTTCTTTAGATGTCTTATTTGTCCAGTGGTCTTCAGAGTCTTTAGTTGGATGCTTTTATTCTCCTGGAAAGACAAAAACAAAACCCTGCCCCAATCCTGACACTGTGGAGTTTCCATTTTTGGCAGGTTATATCTGATCAAATGAAAGACATATGCTAGTCTTGTAAGTTAGTTTAGATTGAATACCATGCTCTTTGATGAACCCTCTCCTTTGATGAGGACCTTTGATGAGACCTCTCCTAATCAAGAGGTCTCTCCTGTTTGAATCCAATCTTTATAAATGTTGATGGTATCTATAGCTCATCTTCTGTGGAAACAAAAGCAAACCTCTTTCCCAATGTAACTCATATCCTGGTTTCCATTCTGAGGTCAACACATCTTTGAAGTATACAGGCTGATTTAATTCAGCAGTTTTTTCTACTATCCAATGTCTCTCTGCAGCTGTTGTCTCTTTCTCATGAGCATTTAAAAAACTGAAAGTTAATAGAGCATTGTGCAATCTATTGCTGGGGGTTATTTTTACCCATTTCTGTTAATTAAACATATCTTTTAAAGTGTTATTAGATTTTTCTATAACTGCTTGTCCTGTAGGATTCTGTGGTATACCTGTGATATGCTTTATATTGTAACATGCAAAAAACTGTTTCATTTTACCAGAGACATATGCTGGAGCATTCTCAGTCTTAGTTTGTATAGGTATCCCCATGATGGCCACTACTTCTTTTTTTTTGTTGTTTTTTTTTGAGACAGGGTTTTACTGAGTAGTTTTGGAGCCTGTCCTAGAACTTACTCTGTAGACCAGGCTGGCCTTGAACTCACAGAGATCCTCCTACTTCCTAAGTGCTGAGGTCAAAGGCTTGCACCACCATAACCCAGCTAATTGCCATAACTTCTAACAAATGTATGATTACAGAATCAGCCTTTTCAGAACTCAAAACAGTTGCCCATTGAAATCCTGAATAGGTATCTATGGTATGGTGTACATATTTTAATTTTCCAAACTCCATCAAACGAAACATACCGATTTGCCAAATTTCATTTCTTTGAGTACCCTTTGGGTTACTTCTTGCAGGTAGTTGAGTTTGGTTATACAAAGAACAAGTAGGACATTTTCTTATAATTTCCTTGATTTGTTGCCAAGTGATTGAAAAATCTTTCTTCAAAACTTTGCTATTAACATTGTGTTTCTTATGAAATTCTGAGGCTTCTAGCATTTCCTACCAATAGCTGATCAATTTCATCATTATCTTGTGCTAGAGGGCCTGGTAGGCCTGCATGGGATCTGGATTGTGTTACATATAAGGGGTGATTTGAATTTCTGATTATCTTGTAACTGAATAAATAACAAAGTTAATTCTGAATCATCTGGAATAAGTGCAGTGGTTTCAATATGTAAAACAACACTTTCTGTACATTGAGAGTCAGTAACTATATTGAAAGGTTCTGGAAAATCTAATAATACCATAAGAATAGCATATAATTCTGACTTTTGAATAGAATCGTAAGAGTTTTGAGACACTTTTTCTTAAATTTCCTGACTTACAATATGCCCTTCCTGATTTGTTTGCATTAGTATAGAATGCAAGGGCTCCAGAAATTGGTGCTCCTTGTACCACGTGTGGAAGGACCCAATTAGTTCTTTTTTATAAACTGAGGTATTTTTCTTTTGGGATATTTGCTGCTAATTTCTCTCAGAAAAATTACTGTATTGCCAATGTTCATTTTCTGCCCATAATGAGAAAATTTCAGCATTTGTAAAAGGTACCACAATTTCTTCTGGGTTTATTCCTGTAATTTGATGAAGTCTCAAGTTTCCTTTCAGAATCAATTCAGAAATCTTTTCTACATAGATTTTATTTATTTATTTATATTTTTTACTATGTTTGTGTGGCAAAAACATCCATTCTAAAATATTATCTTTTCTCTGCATAAGAATTCCTGTGGGAGAATGCATAGAAGTAAAATAACCAGAATATAATCAAACTCTGGATCCAAATGATCCACATGTGCATCTTGTAATTTCTTTTCTACCAAAGCCAATTCTCTCCCAGCTTCAGCTGATAATTTTCTTGGACTATTTAAGTTCTTATCACCTTGTAAGGTTTTAAATAAATTACTTAGTTCTTGAGTTGTTAATCCAATTTTGGGCCATAGCCAGTTAATATCTCCAAGCAATTTTTGAACATCATTAAGAGCTCATCATTGATTTATTTTATCTTTTTTTTTGTTTTGTTTTGTTTTTCAAGACAGGGTTTCTCTGTGTAGCTTTGCGTCTTTCCTGGAACTCACTTGGTAGCCCAGGCTGGCCTTAAACTCACAGAGATCCGCCTGCCTCTGCCTCCCGAGTGCTGGCATTAAAGGCATGCACCACCACCGCCTGGATCATAATTGATTTCTACTGATACTTCTGTGATTGAATTTTTTATAAACATATCTTATATTCTAGGAAGTTAATACAATTTCCTCTTGGTATTTTTTCAGGAGCAAATTCCCAACAAGTCAAAATTTTCTTTATTTCTTCAAACATTTTTTCTAAGGTATCTGTGTCTGAATCATCTAGTAAGATATCATCCATATAATGGTAAATGGTAGATTGAGGGAACTATTTATGAATTATTTCCATTCAGGCTTGTACAAAATATTGATACAAGGGAGGGCTATTTAACATCCATTGTGGAAGAACTTTCCACTGATATCTTTTAACAGGCTGGGAATTATTATAAGTAGGCACTGAGAAGGCAAGTTTTTCTGTATCCTGTTCTTGGAAAGGTATAGTGTTGCTGGAGAGCTTCTCTCCAGGTTCCACCAAACCCCGCAGTCCCACAATCCATGTATAAAATAATCACTCAGATGCTTATAATACTTATAAACTGTATGGCTTCTTGCTAACTGTTCTTATATCTTAAATTAACCCATTTTTATAAATCTATACCTTGCCACGTGGCTGGTGGCTTATGGGCGTCTTTACATGCTGCTTGTCCTGGCGGTGGCTGCAGTGTCTCTCCCTCCTTCTTCCTGTTTCCCCAATTCTCCTCTCTCCTTGTCCCGCCTATACTTCCTGCCTGGTCACTGGCCATCAGTGTTTTATTTATATAGAGTGATATCCACAGCAGTATAGTAAAAAGCAGTCTTTTAAATCAATTAGTATAATAGACCATCCTTTAGGTAATAAAGAAGACAAGGGAATTCCAGGCTGTAAAGAGCCCATTGGCTGGATCACCTTGTTAATAACTATCAGATCTACTACCATTCTCCATTTTCCAGATTTCTTTTTAATGATAAATACAGAAGAATTCCAAAGACTGGTTGATTCTTCAATATGTTGAGCATTTAGCTGCTCCTGTACCAGTTGTTCTAGTGCCTGTAATTTTTCTGATGTCAAAGGCCTTTGTTCTACCCAGACAAGTTTGCCACTTAACCATTTTAAAGGCAGGGCTGTTGGTTTCCTTTGAAAGATCAATAGCTGTGGTGCCTTGCTTATGTACAACCTGGGTAGTTGGTGACTGTTCTTGATAATACCTTTTACTATTTCTCTCAGAAGCATTCTTTATTTTATGGTTTGTTTCTGAGATTGGAGGAATGTTAATCTGTGCTTTCCATTGCTGTAACAAATTCATTGCTATGTTTGTCACATATGGCTTTAATTTCCCTACCTGTCCTTATGTCCCTGTACAATCAACCCTCCTTGTGCTTTGTTTTTACCTGAGATAAAGTTCCAATTCCTAGAAGCTGAATAATTACCTCCTGAAGAGGCCAATCTAGATGCCAATACCTTGGCAAAATTATTGCTATATCTGCACCTATGTCTAGCAAACCTTCAATTACAATGCCATTTTCTAGTATCTTTAGCTTTGGTTTTTTAATCATTTATAGAAGTTTGCCAAAATACTTGTTTCATGGTCTGTCCTGAAAATTTTGTTTTG